GATGTCACGCATCCTCCATCAAACACCTGGCCTACACCATCCACCCGCCCTCCACAGCTGGTCAAGCAGGTCTCGAACCTCTACGGTCTTTTCCAGCTCAGCAGTCACCTGGTCTGCAGCAACGGCATGACTCCATCACCCAATATCTGTGGGATGGACTGCAACAGTGAGTTTCAATCTCAGTTTGGTCTTATATCTACACGTCTTCATTATTATCACTGTACAGGTTTGTGCAGACAGTTTATTCACCCCAAACAGCCAATGTAATGACTCTACAGACATTAGCTGTACCTTGTTATCAACCTATCCACCAATCTTGTGTGCTTGTGTGTGGAGTGATTTTATGTGACAACTCAATTAATGGGAACAGTTCACTCTCCTTTTCTTCTTCTATCCTCGGTAAAGCGTCCATTTTTGACATTCACAACTTGCATTTTCACTTAAACCAGGAAACTTGTTTTCTTTCCAGACTTGATTGATGACGACATAAGTGATGACATTAGGTGCGTGACGATGATAATCAACGAGCTTATGTAAGTTAATTTTTAAATTCCTACATTACATGCATCAAACGTCAGAAAACCTGTGCAGCAACTCATTTTAAATGTTTGGTGAACATTGTTGAATACACGTTTGTTCATTTAATTTGATGTTATTGTACAATGACCTTCATTTTTATATAGTTTTTCATGACATAAGTGTTAAATTTTACAGTTTTACATAAAGTTTGTAATGTACAAGTTTTACCTTGGCTGTATTGATTCACTTACTGGGGAGAGGGGGAGGAGGAGGGTGTTAGATTTTTAGTGTTTCTTACAGGTCAGCAATGCTCATTTGTAGAGAGATCAACCATAAACCTCTACATCACTAAACTGCAACATACACTTTAATGCAGCAGCAATTTTAATCCAGAAACATCAGATATATTAGTATAACACAGAAAGGGACCATTTTACTGCACAATAAGTAATTTTACCTTCAAAAGTTTACTTACATTTTGCTGACGTACTTAAGGTTTGGACACAGGACTTTTACTTGAAGTTGGGGAAATTTTCATTTTTGTAAAGGATCTAACTACTGCAGGTCAAATATCCATGTCCAAGGAACATTAAGAAAACCACATTTTCTAGTGGAGGGGGAATTTAAGGATTCATCATGACAAGCCCACCAGGCTGAAAAGCAATGAGTTTTTCATGTCATTTTGTACAGAGTCAGACAGTACGAGGAGAGAGATATGGTATGCTACAAAGGTCATCTGCTGGAACGGGGACATTGCTGTTATATGACACCAACAAATCATTCGGGTGCCAAAGTACCCCGTGTTTTGTCTTTTATAGCTGATGTCTGTGATGTTGGGTTGGGTTATGGCCTGAAGTCAGTCAGACTAAAAGGTTTGTTTGCCCTATGCGAATGAAATAGGAACTAAACCCTAATGCTTTGAATATGTTTTTCTGAAAATTTCCACAGTGAAAAAGGTTTTGGGGCGCCCCACTGGAAGGAGTTGAGCAAAATGTAAGTTATTATCTTCAACTGTTTGTAGTCTTTAAGTTGGATGCACTGCTTTTTGTAATCCGCCTTTTAAATGCATTAAATGATGACTTCATTACCATTTAATCATGAAATCAATACAGTCAGTTACCTTACAAAAAACAACTCAAAGAATGTTGATCTCTTCTGTTTATTTGCAGGATCAGGCTCATCTTCCAGCAAGAGTGCAGTAATCTGGATGCTTCTAAATACTTTGCTGAATGCGCTTAACTTAAATACTGTGCCATAAGTATCAGTGGAAGGATCATCGGCCTCTGAAATGAGTGGCCAGTGATTTATAACAATAATAAAGTGAAGCATGTTGCACTTGTTGTGTTTTTGTGTCTATAATCCAAAAAAATAAGTCTGCCCTACGGCATTGTTGAAAAAAATGTCGGTGATTTTACACAAAATGTGCATGTCAATAATCGAAAGACTAAATGGTTCTCTAAGTAAATGTTTTATTAGTGCCTTAACAGCACATTAAACTAAATTATTAGGCTGTATGGTTGAGTCAGCAGGGTCAAGGTACGTTTTACCCGTTTGTTTTTGGTATAATTAACAAAGGCAAAAACCAGAAACAGGTCGTTTTTCCATTGGTTTTTTGTTTTTTTGTTTTTTTACTCAAAACCAAAAAACAAATTCAGCACAATGTCTTGTTTTCCTTTCTTAGTGACAGAACAAATTTATTACTCAATACTTCCTTTTATTGGTGGGTGGGACTTCATCAACCCCCTGCTTCTGATTGGACAGTGTGCTCTGTGCTTCAGGCTACTCTTCAAAATGAAGGTTCTACCAAAGAATTTCCAGTCCTGCTGTGGCTCTCCCTCTTTGCCTTAAGACGATGCAATGTCTACACAAAAACAATAATAAAAATATACACTTAGTTGACAGTTTATTATCGAAAACTAATTACATAATGCAATATATCCCCCTTCATGATTAAGAGATTAACAGTTTATGAGAGGTGGCGATTCAACTCAGTTTGGAGCATGTAGCCTAGTTTGTGGTGTTGTTAAGCCGTAATTAATAAAACAAAGGTGTTTCTGTTAATTAGTCTAACCTCACAGATTAAGGCTTATTTTAGTAAATACTGTGGACAGTAAAGTGTTCTCAATATTATAAAGATCGATGGCATCGAACCAACAGCAAGCACACCAAAAGGATTTACAGAAAATGACCAGCAGGTGTCGCACTGCACCTCCCTCTGCTGTGATCACCTGGAGCCACTTGAGAGAACAGAACTCCACTGAGTTAATTCTGCAGTGTTTAAAGATTCACCACACCTGATATGGTGTATCAGTATCGTATTACCATAGCAAGCGCATTAGACTACTGTCTGTGAGCGTGCGTATTATCATGATGGAGAACCCAAAAATGGTCTGTGCATGGTTCAAAAGGGTTGTACATAGTCTGTGAATTAGTCATGGGTGTGTAGGGCATAACATGCAATAGCCTACACCAATCAGTGTAATTTCCCTTTTAAAGCCAGGTGTGCATTGCTATTATAATAGCGTATGAATGACGCATTATGCAAAACACCAATTGACTGACTGAACTGCAGACTCACAGCAGAGACGGGATATGGAGAGAAGTGTGGATGTGATATAAAAAACATCTCTGATCATGAAGCCTGTGTTATTTTGCTGCTTTGTAGTTTATCAGTGAAGAGTCGGAACTGCAGGCTGTAAAGAGACAGACGCTCTATATATAAACTTATATACTAATATAAACTATGATAACCGGTCGTGGGTCACATCTCTCCCGTACAGTGGATTCTTTCTTTTGTGTTTTATTGATGTATGAGTGTATTCTTTAATGATTTACTTTCATGCTTAGAGATGCTGTTGTCAGTCATTTTAAATGTCATGTGCGCAATAAAGTCACAACAAATATTGTGGGGTATATGAGCAGCAAAACAGAAAAAAGCTTAAGTTCTAAACTTGACATGACAGGACAGAGGAAACTCTCCAGAGGAAACAGAATTCAACTTTTAGCTTCTGAAATTATTTAGACGCTCTGATGGAGGACAGATCAGGAGGACTGCTGCTTTACTCCAAAGAGTTTCACCTTATGAACCTGGACTGTGTGTGAGACCTTTTGGATGTCTAAAAGAACAAAGAACATCAATTAACATTTGATACTGACAGATCGTGACAGCGTGTAGGGAGATTTTAATGATCAGTGAATTTACGATGCTGTGCCTCGTACGTAAATACGCACAGTGTCACTGTAATGCTGCCCTAAAATAACAAAAACAGTGAAATACTGTGCCATTGACTTCAGACCTGTTTTTTTGGGTCAATGGTGCAATCGCTTTCTGCTGCCTCAATAGCAATGTGCCAACAATATGCCTGACCTCACCTCATTTGAAGACCAACACTCCCATGGGCTCACAGATGGGTACAATACCCTCCCGATCACGGCAACCACATTCCTCTCTGACAGAGAGGTAGACATTGTGTTGAATAAGAAAGAAAAGTGTCCTACTCATAAACAACGTCATGTCCTGAAAACAGGCCAGCTACGGCACACACACACAGTTTAATACCCACAAGCACTTCCACTCTCGACCTGTCCCCGAAATGATAACAGCCTTTAAGACAGCGGCACGGCAGCCTCACCAAATCCACGGAAAAAGCAATTGTAAAGTTCCTCACCTATTTGAAAGGCATCCGACGAGCATGCATTGAGCCAAATCTTTGACAATGTCCTCAGTAATCCAAAACAATCTTATTTGGGAGCTTTGTGACCCTCTCCTCCTGTTCTTTTCTCTCCTGTCTCTACTTGAAACAACTTTTATGTTTGAATAACATGACTGCTAGCTTGCACCTGCAGAAACTTAAGATTGGGCAGCCATTTACATATTACCCAGCAATAATCACTGCATATGCGGGCTATGTGACACCAATACCAAAGAAAATACGATTAGATTCATTCTGTTCAATGTGTTGAATCTATTTTTGTGATATTTCACCATATAGCTTATCTTATCCTACTGCTGGCTACAGACTACAAAAGTCTATGGTGTCATACACCACAGCATAGGGGGAAATGCACATTTGAGGATATTGATTTCTAAGGACATAACCAGCTGGGTGTGCTAGGTTTCTACTGTTTATTGATGAGACATGATGCATGCTGGCCCCCTGTACAGTAAGGGCCCCAGTGCAGCTACACTGTCTATACCTACACCCGTTTGGAACTTGAAAATGGTTTCAAGTTCCAAAACATCCTGTTTAGATGAGGAGCGGCTCTGACATACAGAATTGTTATTATGTAAGCCTATTGGCTACCTGGATGTTTACTGGTGTAATTGGAAGGTGTTTAGTGTAAAAATCCCCCTCCAGGCTTATTTGACTAGAATTTGAATGGATAACCAAATGTAGGCTACACGTCAAAGCAATCTGTGTGTGTTGTTTAGCCACAACTTTGAAAACGTACCTGTTTCATTTCCTCAATATTGTAAAGAAAGCTATGAAAACTAGTCAAACCTGATTGGTCAACAAGTTGAAACTGTGATATGTATACATTTAGACACATCTGTCTGCAGACAAAGAGAGGCAAACTGTTGTCAAAAACTCAGGAAAGAAGGTTTATACTGTAGTTGAAGGAACGTGGTAAGAAACTTGTCTTTATCTTATTATTATTTTTGTCTGTGCTGTTATATTTTATGAAAAATGACAGTGGAATTTGATATTTAATTTCAATACTTTTTTTGACTTTTTTACTTTGTTTGAAGCTGAACTAGAGATAATAAAACACCAGAATGATGAATTAATGAACAAATTGTATTTGTATTCATATACAACGTGTAGCTACTTTATTTGTGTATTAATATTGGATATAAGTAAAGGACAACTGGGGCCTGTTCTACAAAGTAGGATTTGACGGTAGCGAGGTTTACTTCGAGGTTGGACTAGAATACCATTACCTTGGCTACACCAAAACAACTGTGGGGTTGGGACTTTTTATTTAAAATTTTTTTACTTACTTAACGGCCGAGGCACTGAAAGGACCGACTGTCTGATTTTAACATATTCCAGGCTCTTGCTAAGTAAATTGATTATTTGATTAAATAAAAATTAAATACATTTCCAGTGGACAAGAGGTCATTTTCAAATGATTAATTTACTCGATTTTATCAAAACAACATGATACACTTACATGTAAACATTTTGTCCTTGTATTTGCTCCTGCCTTGTTTGTTTACCTTTTTTTGGCTTTCCCTGGTAACCTAATGTTTAACATCACAACGCTATGAACCATTAATAATTCTCTCAAGCAAAGTCTGCAGAGACGTGGACTCACAGAAGTGTGAAATTAGGGCTCAAAAACGTCTGCGAGGTTGACAGTGGGACAGCCCAAAGCCCTTACAGAAGTGTGGAGTGTGGAGATTGGGATTCAGCCAGATTTGTGCATGGCTGCTCATTTTATGTGAACTTTTATTAAGTTTTATGTCAATGGCTGGATTGAGAAACCCTGGGTTGATTTAGAAGAGTTGATAACCAGCGTCGTAGTCTTATTAGGCCTACCACTTTTGTTTGTTAGGATTGTTAGGATTATTGAAGTCATATAACAAAAAGATATCCTGGTTTGTGTTGAACTTGCTTCGTAGGCCTAGTATAGGATCCTTGTCTCTCTTATTAACATTATTCTTCCTGCTTTTTCTTGAAAAGCCATAGATCAGTGGAACTCTGCCGGACAATGTAAAGAGCTGCAGCTCTATCAGTGGTTTCAAAACCAACTTAAAGTCTGTTACAAGCTGCTCAGTTGTGTACTCACTGAATTCTATCTCATGGTCTTCATGACTTGTTTTCAAGCATAAATTTGTGATGTGTTGTTGTGTGTATTGCATGTTTTGTGTGTAGAACTTTGTACTATGTTATTGTGCAATCATTTTGTTCTGACCTACTGTTGGACTACAAATGTGAATTAGCTTACAGCTATAATCTAGTAAAATGGCAATGACGCAAAGGAATACACAACTTAAATATGCAAGTGAGGTGAGGATAACTAGACACAACCACCGCAAAACCCTGATAATTTATGTTTAAAAACTGTACATGGTCACTTTTGAATTAAATAGATTTAAAATTGATTTTTTAGAACAAAGGTGTAAAATTTGTTTTTAACAATTGAGCAACCAAACAACAAAATCCAATTTATTCAAATTAGTATTTTTTTTATACCTTCAAGTACATGAACAAACTGTTTTTGCAAATATACTTCTAAACTGTAAAAACACAAGTGATTTCAAATTAAATTCATTAAAAAATTTAAAAAATGTTTTGCTAATCGAGTGAGATAAGTCAACTTGTTCACTGTGCATTTCCCTTGTTTCACAATTTCCAGAAATTGTAATCCAGTTAATTGTAAACTGAGCTGAAAGCTGTCCTCTGCACAGCTGCTTAAGCACAAAGACTAGTTACAACCTGCTCATTAAAATGTCCTGCTATTTTTCAGTGGAAATTGGGTCCAAATGAAATCAATTGGTTTTGTGTCAATGTCCGCCTTATACCTATGGTAGGTTTTAAGTTTCCTATTTTATCCCACAGAAGGTGCTGACATGAAGTTGAGACTGTTGGCGGTGGTGACTGTGGCGCTTCTGGTGCTCAGCCCATCCGAGGCCCAGACCATCTCCAAATGCGAGCTGAAAGACAAGCTTGAGGCAGCGATCACCCTGCCCAGAATCCTTCAAAGATTCAAGGAAAGACTCCTGGCAATAGGTAAGTTTAAAAATGCTAGATTACTGTAGGAGTCACTCTGCTGTCAGGGGAATCCAGAGCAGGAAGACAGATAAGAGATTTGGTTCATGCAAACAGGCAAGAAAAAAGGGCCAAATGCAAATTTGGAAAAACTGATAGACAAACAACAAATTGATTTTTTTAAACTCTTCCAACAGTGGTTGAGACATTTCAGACAAAATGTCTACCTGTTGGTGGTGTTTGATTAAAAGTCAGGGAATCCCATTGATTTTCATAATCTCAGGGCATAATTGACCATACATGTATGCAACAAGATCAATTCCATGCCCCTCCCCCTCTCTTTTGCAATAATATTTTTTTTGTATAGTTTATTATTCACATGCACTTACAGTATGTATGTATGGAGGCACATAAGTAGGTATATTTGTTTATATATGGATGTGGAAATTCTCAGTGTATTTATATACCTGCAGTATGTGTATGACTATATTATACATATGCATGTTTTCTTCATTCTCTTTCAGTTTAAATGGTAAAACTTTAAATGCCAATTTCTAACTCTGTACCAGTACTGCTTCACTATACACATCCAGCAACTCGAGAAAATTTGCCTTCAGTCTTATAACGTGCAGAAGCCAAACATTCTTTGCATGAATCCAAATCAGAAAAGTCCAAAACAAATTTTTTGGCTTTAACAGCGCTTCAGTTTGAAAATATTGAATGATTTAATACTATGAGACAGATTATATTCTCATTTCCTGACTTAAAGGACACGGCTGGCGAGTTTTTATGTGTATGTCACATAATCAAATTACATGTGGTATTGACTCAAAATAAACTAGAGTGGCTGGTTCCCGGTAATAACACGTCACCTAGCGGCATGGCTTTTTGGATGACATTATTGGTCAGTTGGTCCACAATTATGATCCAGACAGGAATATCTAAACAACTATTGAATAGATGGCCAAGAAATTTTGTCCCTAGAGAATGAATCATAATACCTTCAGGGATCCCCTTACTTTTCCCCTACCACCATGATGATGTTGACATTTGTGGATCTATTTTAGGTGACGTATTGCATTGAAATTTGGTACAAAAATCCATGTTCCCTACAGAAAGAATAATGTTTAATTTAGCACCGCCAGCAGGTCAAATGTTTAAATGTTGTCCAATACTTTGGTTTATGATCAGATAAAGAACCTGCAAAACTAGTATGGCCTCATTGTCGCGCTGATCTGGCAGAGGTGCGCCTGTCTCCCGTGTGCCCGCCTCCTCCTGCATGCCGTCTCACCTGCGTGCCGCCCCGCTCTGCATCGGCAGCCGCGTGTGACCGTGCGTGCGCGCCCTGGCGCACCCTCGACCAGGTGAATTAGATTGAGCAATCAGAAGCTCGCACACACTTCAATCAGCGGGAGCATATAACGCAGTCATTTGGCTGGTGGAAGGGGACTGACACGACGGAATGAGCAGCACACATCCACTGCGGGGAATGAGACTTTTGATTTTGACGGGCTATCGGTAAGCTCACTTGAACGTTGTTTAAATCTTTTCTGTTTAGGTGTTAATATGGGTGTGTTAAAGTTGTCGCTGCATGGTTGAAGAGAGGGAGAAACTATGTTCAAATGCATGGATATATATGGTTAAAATGTGTGGGTTTTCTACCTAATTTGTGTAAAAGAATGCTTAAATAGTAAGCCAAAATTGTTTTGTTAAAGATTAATTAAAATGCATAATTAGTTTGGTGAAATGTGAAGAATAATATTGAATTTAAATATACTTACCGTTTTTGAAATATTTACCTTGACTTGTGTTTACTGTGGAAATACCTGTTTATTCAAAATGCTTTTTATTTCTGTGTTTAAAGGTTTTTCACCTATACTGTTCAACTCCTGTTCAATTATTCAAATAAATTATTCTGAGTGAAATCCGAAGTCTGGTCCTTTTCAAGTGTGGACACCTCACAGTTAAAAGAAACACTTGACAGTGAAAAACCGGCCTGACGGTAGGAAACCGGCCGTGACAAGTGAAGACTCCACAAGAGCCCACCACAAAGAGGGAGAAGACTCCACCTGGGGACCTGGAGAAATCAACTACCTGCCGTTCACCTGTCAGTCCAACAGCCAAAAAAGGCAACATGGCCGAGTCCAAGTCACTCGAAGAGCTGAAAACAGAGCGAACTACAGTAAAGAGACTTTTTTCCCGACTCACCAACCATATAACGAGGACCCACATGGAGATGTCTGTGGAGGAGCTGCAAGATAACTTCAAAAGACTCACAGCAGAGGGCGCTAAAGTGATGGATGCAAATGAGGAGCTTGAGGCTGCTTACATTGCACAGGGCAAAGGAACCGAAGCAGAGGGCGCACCTGAGTTAAGCGACCAACAGAGAGCTGACATAGAGAAGACGGAGAAAGAGTGTGAGCAGAAGTTAAAAGAGGTAAAGCACCTTGTCCAGGAGACATTATGGGCCTCATGTGGTGAAAGAGAACTGACCCTTGCTCTAAAAGCTGCAGAGGCAGAGTGCGAGAACGTCTCCTCCACTCAGCCTGACACACCCCTGGAGGCATATGACTTTATGCTCCGCCATTTAGAGAGCCTGGTGCACAAAGCCAAAGAAGCGCACCAGACCTGGAACCGCTGGGCTCCACGAGCCGAGAAGCAAGATTTCAATCGTCGGCTAACGGAGCTCGAAACCCTCCTTCCCAAGCTGGTGTCGAGGAAAGCCGCCCTGATTGGAGCAGCAAGTATTAAAGAGGACAGCAACAGAGTACCTGTCACAGCCCACAGCGCAGCCCCTGTTGCAGCCATAAAGCTAAAAGCCACAGCTTTACCAAAGTTTACCGGCAGCCAGCGTGAGTATTACAGATGGAGGAAAGAATGGGAGGCTCTACAGAAGCAAGGTGAACCAACCGGATCCAAAGAGGTGAAGAAATTTCAACTACTTGATAGCCTCGACGAAAGAGTGGCCAAGGATCTACGGCTCTCTACTTACACCTCAGCAGACGAGATCTTCAGAGTCCTAGAGAACCGCTACGGAAACCAAGCCACCATCGCTATTGAGATTGTCGAGGAGCTACAAGCTATCCCACCTGTTCGTGGTAACCACCCAAGAAGAATCGTAGAGCTCATCCAAGCAGTGGAAAAGGCCCTCTATGATTTAAATGAACTAAGCAATGCAGATGCCATAAAAAACCCACTAGTAATAAAATCCATCGAGAGCAAGCTGCCAGAGTCCCTGAAGAAAGACTGGCTTACCCACGCTGCTGACCCAAGAAATGCTGTAAGCCACCAGAACCGCTTTGACAAGCTACTGGCATACCTCCAATCCCAAGAGTCTATCTACGAGCAGTTAGAACAGCTGAGAGACATCGACCCTGCCAAGGAGAAGACCAGGTTTCAAACAAAGTATGCCCGAACAAGGACAACTAAATCCAGCAGTGAATTAGGAGGCTGCATCATCTGCGGAGATCCAAAACACAAAAGAAAGCTCTACATCTGCAGGAGGTTTAGAACCACCACAAAGCTCCAGGAAAAGAGGGACGCAGTGCAACAGCTCGGAGCCTGCAAGAGGTGCCTCGAAATCCACAATGAACCCTGCAGAAAAACTACTTACCTGTGTGGGAATCCAGAGTGCAGAGACCAACACCACTACCTTCTCTGTCCCTTACCCAGACAGCTGTCCCAAAGACCCAAGTTTGGTCCGGTGAGAGCTGAGGGGAAAAATTACACCGAGGCCCAGGAAGAGTTTCTTTCCAAACTTTCACCTGAGCTAGCGCAGCAGTGTCGCAATGCTTTCTGCAACATCGCATCTCGAGCATACAACTCCACTGCAGCAGAGAGAGGAGAGAGAGGCCTTCTGGAGGAGACTGGTCTGCACGAGTACCCTGTGATCCTGATGCTCCTTAACGTCACTGCCAATGACGGGCAAAGAATCGGAACACTTATTGACCTGGCGTCTGACACAAATTACATAACCCACAGAGCTGCAAGCAAGCTGAACCTTCGCAGTGAAGATGTCGCACTAGTCGTCCATGGCGTCGGAGGGATGAAAGTATCTGTCGCTACAAAGCGCTACCTCCTCAAGATCAGAGTCAGGACTCCAAAAGGAACTCTGAAGTCTCACCAACTGATCTGCTACGGACTTGACAAAATTGCAGAGGTGCACCGACATGTTCAACCTGACAAGCTGCAGAAAATCTTTCCTGATGTTCCCCTCAAAGACTTCATCAGACCCAGAGAAATCCAGCTTCTGATCAGCCACAAAGAAGGCCAGCTGGTGCCCCAAAAAATCCGTTCAATTGGTGACCTGGTGCTCTGGGAGGGTCCACTAGGCAAGACAGTCGGGGGCATGCATCCAGACCTCTTTGAGGAAGTCACCCTGATGGCCCATTCGTCCAAGACTCACTTCGCCAGATCAATGAGAACTTCAGCAGTCAAATATCTCGAATTCAAGACAGACCCAATTTCCTGCCAGTATCCCGACCACCCCGAGACCCAGTCTAACACAGCCACCAGCAGCAAAGACTTTCTGAAGTGGTGGAGGTGGGAGAGCATCGGAGCCGCCTGTCAGCCGAGATGTGGAGGGTGTCGCTGCGGGAACTGCCAGCCAGGGGGAAAGGAGATAACTCTTGCAGAAGAAAGGGAGATGGAGATCATAAGAAATGGTTTGACATACACGACTGGAGATGTACACAGCACCGAACCACACTGGCATGCTAAGTATCCGTGGACAGAAGATCCAGCAACCCTGCCAAACAACAGGAAAGCAGTAGAGGCAACATTCCTCAGAACTGAGAAGCAGCTATCAAAAGAACCTGAGTGGAAGGCGGCCTACGCTGCACAGATCCATGAGATGGTGAACCGCAGGGCCGCAATGAAGCTGTCCAAAGACATTCTGCAGAGTTGGACCGGGCCAGTGTGGTACATAAGTCATCTCATTGCACTAAACCCACACTCAGTCTCCACCCCAGTCAGACTAGTGTGGAACAGCAGCCAAAAGTGCAGAGGTCTCAGTCTGAACGACATCCTCATCAAAGGTCCTGATGTCCTGAACCCAATCCGAGCTGTCTTATTGAGGTTCCGAACTGGTGTCTACGCTGCCCTTGGAGACATCCGGAAGATGTACAACTCTGTCTGGCTGGAAGATCGAGAGGTCCACCTGCACAGATTCCTGTGGCGTGACAGTGAAGATGCCGAAATAGAAGATTTTGCCATAACAAGAGTCAACATCGGAGACAAACCTGCCGGTTGCATAGCCCAAGTCGCCATGCGAGAAACTGCGAACTTACCTTCATTCAGTCACTTCAAGGAAGAGAGACGCGTGCTGGGAGAAGATGTATACGTCGACGACATCCTGACTTCACATAACGACCTTGACCATCTGAAATGCCTCACAGCCAACATCAAACACATCCTGAAAGCTGGAGGATTCCACATAAAGCCCTGGGTTTACTCCATTCAAGGTGGGAGGAAAGAACCCAAGGATGAGATACCAAAGACTATGATCCTACCAAACCAGCTGACAAAAGACGACAACAAAGCCCTTGGCCTTGGTTACACCATCAATGACGACAAACTCCATGTCATGGTTGCAGTTAACTTCTCAAAGAAAAGGAGAAAGATGCGCCTTGGTCAAAACCTGCTCAGACAGGAGGTCAGAAATCAAACACCTGATCCACTCACCAGACGAGAGCTGCTAAGCCAGGTTTCTAGCCTGTATGACCCACTCGGCCTTGTGACTCCTGTCAAACAAAAGGGTGCCATCCTGGTCAGGAGAGCTTTTCAAGAAGCCAAGGTAAAATACTGGCTAGAAGACTCGTGGGATGCTGCTTTGTCTGAAGGTCTCAGAGAAGACGCTATAAAGCTATTGGAAGAATATGCTGACCTGAGCCAACTTCGTTTCACCAGATCCCTGACTCCACCAGATCTCTGCGCAGAGCCCAGTGCAATCACATTCTCTGATGGCAGCCAACACGCATATGGCGCAGTGATGTATCTTCGCTGGAGTTGCAACCGTGGTGTCGTTGTGAGACTGGTCGAATCCAAATCCAAGCTGACCCCCCTTGACCACAAAGGGGATCCTGTAAAAGCTGAGATGTGCGGAGCAGTCTTCGCAGCCCGCCTCAAGACCTACTTCCAGAGACACTGCCGACTCCAGGTCAAGAAATGGTATCATCTTGTCGACAGTCAAACAGTCCTGGGTGCAATACAGCGTGAGAGTTATGGCTACCAGACTTTCTTCGCAAATCGCGTTGGTGAGATCCAGAGCAGTACCGACGTCCAAGACTGGTGGTGGATTCCAGGGCCAGCAAACATCGCAGATATCATCACTAGAGGGGCCAGTCCAGATGCCCTAACTGAGGACTCCGAGTGGCAGTCGGGTCCAAAGTTCCTCCAACTTCCTGACGATGAGTGGCCAAAGAAATCCGCCAGAGACGTCGCAGCCCAAGCTCGGGACAAAGTCACAAGGATCCAGAAAAAAACATTTGTAGCACTACTCTCCAGATGTCGCCTGAAAACGGCACAAAATCCAGCCCAGCTAGAGTATGAAAGACCACCAGCAGGAGCAGCAGTCCGGCATCTAGTCGATGGAAAGCGCTTCAGCAACCTGAGAAGGCTGATTGGGACTGTGGCTTGGATCTGGAGAGCAGCTAAAAAGTTCTTAAGTGCCAAAACCAGAGACCAAGAAAAGTGGGAGGCAGTACCATCCTCGGGTATCCTTACAGTCAGAGAGAGACGGGACGTGTTTCGAGACCTTTGCCTAGCAGCACAAGAGGGCGTCAACTTCCCAGGCACCACAACAGACAGATTAGTCGTCTACAGAGACCAAACAAGTGGACTTCTAGTTTGTGGTGGGAGAATCCAGACCTTCAAAGAAGACCGCAGAGCTGTTCCCCTCCTACCTTTCCAAGCCTGGTTATCTACCCTGCTAGCCAGAGAAGCACACAGTAAGGGACATGAAGGTGTGGCGGGAACCCTGCTGCGGATGAGGATAAAGGCGTGGGTCATCAGAGGAAGGGTCATTGCCCAAAAAGTCGTTGACAAGTGTATCGTCTGCAAGAAAGCAAAAGCAAGAACCTGCAAGCAAATAATGGGAAACTTACCTGATGAGAGGTCTAGTCCTGCTGCACCATTCGAGTTTACGTCCGTTGACCTGTTTGGACCTTACCATGTTAAGGATGATGTCAAAAAGAGAGTGACCATGAAAGTATGGGGCGTCGTGTTTTGCTGTATGTCCAGCCGAGCCATTCATGTCGAGCTGGCAAACACACTATCAACAGAGAGCTTCCTGCTTACCTACCAGAGATTCACCGCTGTCCGAGGCCATCCCCGTAAAATCTGGTCTGATCCTGGTACGAACTTTGTCGGAGCGAGACCTGTCCTAGAAGAGATGTACACTTACCTGAATCAACAGAGCAAAGAGTCACTTGAAGAGTATGCTGCCAAAAATGAGACGACCTGGATGTGGAAAATCCTCCCGGCCGATTCACCTCACCGAAACGGAGCCGCCGAAGCTGCTGTCAGAGTCACCAAGAGAGCCCTCCAAAGCCTTGGCAATGTAGAAGGTCTTACCTTCAGTGAGTTCCTGACAGTGCTCCAGCTAGCTGCTAATCTTGCCAATGAGAGACCCATTGACGCCAGAGTCCAAAGCCGAGAAGAGCGCATCCAGTACATCACGCCAAACAACTTATTGCTTGGTCGAGCTACACAAAGTGGAGACTTCAAAACTGTCGACTACACCACCTACCCATTCAAGAGGCTCAAAGAAGTACAAACGATAGTAAACAACTTCTGGAAGTCCTGGAGCCAACTTGCTGGCCCGAACCTGTTCATTCGCAGTAAGTGGCATACTGCTGAAAGGAACGTTACCATTGGAGACATAGTTTGGCTCTGCGACCAAAATGCACTGAGAGGGCAGTTCAGGCTTGCAAGAGTCATCGGCGCAAATCCTGATTTCAGAGGTGTCGTTCGAGATGTTCATGTGAGAGTCTCCCCAAGTTCCAGCATCTCTGTGAGAAGCTCAAGACCTGGTGCCGCAGATCCTGGATCAAGTACCATACTGCATCGGGACGTCCGGCGCCTTGTGGTCCTCATACCATGGGAGGATCAAGTCAGAGACCAGCCCACCTGAGAGTACGATCTTTCCGGGCGCCGCCACGTAAAGATCGAGTGGGAGGTGTCGCGCTGATCTGGCAGAGGTGCGCCTGTCTCCCGTGTGCCCGCCTCCTCCTGCATGCCGTCTCACCTGCGTGCCGCCCCGCTCTGCATCGGCAGCCGCGTGTGACCGTGCGTGCGCGCCCTGGCGCACCCTCAACCAGGTGAATTAGATTGAGCAATCAGAAGCTCGCACACACTTCAATCAGCGGGAGCATATAACGCAGTCATTTGGCTGGTGGAAGGGGACTGACACGACGGAATGAGCAGCACACATCCACTGCGGGGAATGAGACTTTTGATTTGACGGGCTATCGGTAAGCTCACTTGAACGTTGTTTAAATCTTTTCTGTTTAGGTGTTAATATGGGTGTGTTAAAGTTGTCGCTGCATGGTTGAAGAGAGGGAGAAACTATGTTCAAATGCATGGATATATATGGTTAAAATGTGTGGGTTTTCTACCTAATTTGTGTAAAAGAATGCTTAAATAGTAAGCCAAAATTGTTTTGTTAAAGATTAATTAAAATGCATAATTAGTTTGGTGAAATGTGAAGAATAATATTGAATTTAAATATACTTACCGTTTTTGAAATATTTACCTTGACTTGTGTTTACTGTGGAAATACCTGTTTATTCAAAATGCTTTTTATTTCTGTGTTTAAAGGTTTTTCACCTATACTGTTCAACTCCTGTTCAATTATTCAAATAAATTATTCTGAGTGAAATCCGAAGTCTGGTCCTTTTCAAGTGTGGACACCTCACAGTTAAAAGAAACACTTGACACTCATAAAGCTAGCGTGGCTTCAGACTCAATTTTAGACAACAATGGATCTTAATGGCACAAAGGAATAAGATACATCAGGCTTTGAATACACACAAATAAGTTTTATAGTACAGTAGGATCAGTTAATACAGATCCTTTAAAAGGTTATGATTGGTAAAGATTAAATGGTGAGGGTGCCGCTGGAATAAAGCTCATCATGCCCAAAATGCATTCACTTCAATTAAATTTTACTTATATAAGTTATCTCAATGCACTTTTTATATAGAGCAAGTCTAAACCATACTCTTTATATTATTAGTTGGGTTCATCCTCTGGGGTTGATTCACTTTCTGGCAATCTACCTGTTAGATTTTGATATTTCCTGCATACAAGTTGAGGTTTTGAGCTGATGGTGGTGCTAGAGGAGAGATTAGGGGGCATAAAATCATTAGGATTCATCCTATGAGGACCATGAATATTCAGTCTGCCTTCCCTGCCTTCAGTTGTCTGTCACATGGAGCTGGTGTCAGAGTTTCCCAGGATGGAAGACCAAAACAGTAGGGAGATCACAATATGGCCCCTCTCCGGGGAGCCTCCAACGACAACCTGGCCTACACCACCAACCCGCCTGGATGAGCCTGAGGACCCTTTAATCCCAATATGGCAGAACGACAGGCAGCGACGGGCCGTCAACAAGCCTACACCATCCACTCATCCTAAAACGTCCATTAATCCCAAAACATCCATTAATCCCAAAGCATCCCCTCGTCCCAACACATCCACTCGTCCCAACACATCCCCTCGTCCCAACACATCCCCTCGTCCCAAAACATCCCCTCGTCCCAACACATCCACTCTTCCCAACACATCCACTCACCACAACACATCCACTCTTCCCAACACATCCCCTCGTCCCAACACATCCACTCGTCCCAACACATCCACTCGTCCCAAAACATCCCCTCGTCCCAACACATCCACTCTTCCCAACACATCCACTCACCACAACACATCCACTCATTCCAACACATCCATTCATTCCAACACATCCACTCATCCCAACACATCCACTCACCCCAACACATCCCCTCGTCCCAACACATCCACTCACCACAACACATCCATTCATTCCAACACATCCACTCATCCCAACACATCCACTCTTCCCAACACATCCACTCTTCCCAACACATCCCCTCGTCCCAACACATCCACTCGTCCCAACACATCCACTCATTCCAACACATCCATTCATTCCAACACATCCACTCTTCCCAACACATCCACTCTTCCCAACACATCCACTCTTCCCAACACATCCACTCACCACAACACATCCATTCATTCCAACACATCCACTCATCCCAAAACATCCCCTCGTCCCAACACATCCACTCGTCCCAACACATCCACTCGTCCCAACACATCCACTCGTCCCAAAACATCCCCTCGTCCCAACACATCCACTCTTCCCAACACATCCACTCTTCCCAACACATCCACTCACCACAACATATCCACTCATTCCAACACATCCATTCATTCCAACACATCCACTCATCCCAACACATCCACTCTTCCCAACACATCCCCTCGTCCCAACACATCCACTCGTCCCAACACATCCACTCGTCCCAAAACATCCCCTCGTCCCAACACATCCACTCTTCCCAACACATCCACTCATTCCAACACATCCATTCATTCCAACACATCCACTCATCCCAACACATCCACTCACCCCAACACATCCACTCATTCCAACACATCCATTCATTCCAACACATCCACTCATCCCAACACATCCACTCACCCCAACACATCCACTCATTCCAACACATCCACTCATTCCAACACATCCACTCACCCCAACACATCCACTCATCCCAACACATCCACTCATTCCAACACATCCACTCATCCCAACACATCCACTCATTCCAACACATCCAGTCATCCCAACACATCCACTCACCCCAACACATCCAGTCATCCCAACACATCCACTCACCCCAACACATCCACTCATCCCAACACATCCACCGACCCTACAGACCAGGCCCAGCCTGGAAACTCTTCAACTACAATCCGTCCCAGGCAGCGACGGGGTGTCAGGCAGCTTCCATCCAACAACACTGGTCCTACACCATCCACCCACCCTCCACACCTGGACGAGAAGGTCTGGGCACTCTATGGTCTTTTCCAGCTCAGCAGTCACCTGGTCTGCAGCAATGGCACGACTCCATCACCCAACATCTGTGGGATGGACTGCAACAGTGAGTTTCAATCTCAGTTAGATCTTTTTTGATCATGTCATCATTATTGTCACTGTAAAGATGTGAGCAGACTGAATGCATAGTCAATTTTTGCCTGGAATTATTTGCTCAAACAGCCTAAAGTCCCAGATGCACCTTGCTAGTAGCCTATTTACCTATTATGTGTGTGGAGTGTTTTTATGTGACAGCTAAGACAATTAACAGGAACTACAGCTCTCTCTCCATTTTTCACTTTCTCAATTTACATCTCAACCTTAAACCGGAAAACTTGATTTCTTTCCAGACTTGATTGATGACAACATAAGTGATGACATCAGCTGTGTGATGATGATCTTCAAACAGCTGATGTAAGTTCATTTTTAAATATCTTCACAGTGGACTCACAAGGTGCATCAAATATCAGACAACCTGCACAGAAACTTACTTTTAAAATTGTTTGTTGATTTATGTTGAATTTCTTTACTTTTAATAACCTCAGTTGCCTCATTTACAGCTGATGGTTTACTTTATTGTAAAATGACCTCAGTTATACATACATTTTTAATCAGTTATGCCATACCTGGAATCATTCACTTCCCGAGGAGAGAGGAAGAATGAGTTAGCTTAAAATTTGCTTGACAATTAGATGGAAACACAGCTATTGTCTTGTTTGGCTTCCTGTCTGACTGCTCCCTAATTGCCCAATATGTTTCACATGTCTCTTGTTACCTCTACCCCTCTGGTGGATTTTGTTGGTCTGTTCCTTTCATTTTCAACCACAACTACTTAGTTTATGTTTAGCAGTCAGCCTTCTTCCCTGTGTTCCCTGGTGTCTTTTGGAATATCTACTTGTTGAATTCTGAAATGTTGCCATGTTTTGGATCCTCACCTCACTTGACAGTTCCAACATTTGTCAAATGAACTCTCTCTAACCTTTATTTATTCAGGTAGCTTCACTGAGAGCAACCTCTCATTTGCCCCTGCACACCATTACACATTAACAACCTGGTCACAAGCTCGCTTCTCTTACCTTTGGGCCACCACTGTCTTTGCTCTATGTTATTTAAAATAGGAACTAAACCCGAATGCTATGAACTTTTCTATCTGAATATTTCCACAGTGCAAAAGTCATTTAAGTTAAGTTATTAGCTTCATCTTTTTTAAGTTTGATCTACTGCTTTTAGTTGTCTGCCTTTTAAAATGCAACAATTAATAAATTACACCATTACCATTTAATCATGTTATCAATACAGTTTACCCAACAAAAACATTTGCATACCTTAAGTAATGTTGATCTCTTCTGTTCATTTGCAGCATCAAGATCATCTACCAGCAACAGTGCAGTAATCAGAATCCCTCTGAGTACTTTGCTGAATGCTCTTAACCTAAATACATTTAGTGCCAAAGCTATCACTGGAAGGATTCACTACCTCCCAAATGAGTGGCCAGTGATTTATGGCAATAATAAAGTGAAGCATGTTGCTCTGGCTCTGTTTATGTGATATCTATAAACCAAAAATTAAGCCTGCCACATAGCATTGGGCACAAGACCGATGAAGGAATTTCCACAGAAACAATGAAAATGGTCGAAAGATTGGTTCTATAAATATTATGTGTTATTATTGCTTCAGCAGCAATAATGAATTCCATTATTTTGTTATTAGGTTGTATGATTTGAGTCACCAGCACACTACCAACAAGTCAAGAGTCCTATATTTAACAAATGTAAGAGACCCTAAATAGGTGGGGCTGAATCCGACATTTCACTGTATATTTATTATTGTTTTTGATCTTCCCGTCTTCCTGCCAACACCATCCTTCTAATAAAAAATGATTTTATTTATTACAAAATGTGACAAAATGGTGAAAATACAGCTACTATGTAATTTTGAATAAAGAGCTATTTACCGGTTGTTACAGCCACAAAATGAAAACAGGCTGCTGATTTTGGTGAGAAAGCCCTAATGTGGAGGGCTAAATCTGGGATTACAAAAAGACTCTCACAAAGATGTCAGACTACCCTCCCTTCAGCTGAAGAAAACTCCCACCCCTTCTTACAAGGTACAAAGTAATTTAATGTGTTGTTTTGGAAACAACAAAAGTTTATAAAACGTAAAGAAAGTTTGTAGTCCCTTCATGCTACACACACAGAACTTGTTTCTCCTTACATTTAATCTCTCATGCATGTACTTCTATTATTATGTTTTATCCATTACATGTTCTTATTATTATACTCATTGTATTAGTCTGTCCACATATGGAGGGTTTAGGTGACAGCTTTGAGATTGTTTTATTGTTTTGCCGTTATTCTGTTCCCCAGAACATAGAAACCCGGACTGTCTAAATGATTATGCTTCCCTTTGCTCTGGGCCAGACGCTTGAAGCTGCCCTGGGCAGCAGGTCTCTGGACCAGCTGTTGATTGTTTGAGTACTTCCTTGCTATTTTCTCCTTAAATAAATTCTGAAAGAGAACTGTTGCTGTAATTCTTTTATTTGCTCAATTATCCACCAGGAAATATCCATGAATATTCCACAATGCATTTTTTGCATTTGTGTGAGAATGTAAACAGCAGCAACATGATGATAAAATGGTTTTCATCACGTTGAAAGTCTGACGTCTGGGAAACAGCGTTCGAGTATGAGGACCAAACATGAAAACACAGAGTCCGCCTCTTCTCATCATGCTAGAGTCTTGCACCTGCCGAGTGCTTCATCCTGGATGTTGATAGGGCAGGTCTCTGTAAAGATGTGGGCAGTCTCTAATTTCTGTTGCTTGGGCAACATGAGTCCCATTTTGTCCAGACCGGACCTTCAGTAGCAGCCGTAAGTCCAAGCTGTGCCAACGTGGCCTATATCCCGGCTCTCTTTCCCTCTCTGAGCGACACCACGCCATGGTACCTGGTCCACTTGATCTGAGTGGTGGCTCAAGGTTTGCTGGTCTTTAATCCAAAACCCTGTCTTCCTTTTTAAATTAATAAATATTTCTGTCATAGGTAACGTGTTTCGGCAATAAAGCCGTGGAAAAAAAAAAAAAAACAAAAGTGTTGCGACGTTTAAAGGAGCTACCGGCTGGTGCATCTACATGTGCTGCCAGTTGCCATAGCAATAATAATGTAAATTTTTTTTATGTAAAGCACTTTGAATTGCCTTGTTGTTGAAATGTGCTGTACAAATAAACTTGCCTTGCCTTAAGAAGTTCTTCACATTTCCTAATGTGACAACGTTTTTTTTAAAAAAAAGGAAAATTCCCACTAACAAGCCTTCCTTCTCTAACCTGTTGAACCTGAACTTAAAGAAGAGCAGTGTCTCTCCTTAGTGACATGCTAGATGTTCAATATTAGAATTTAAGTAGCCATGACTTTACCAACAAGCTTTTCTGTAACTTATCTAAACTTATTTTAACCCAAGCCATAATCTTTTCCTAAAACTAATCAAGTAGTTTTGTTGCCTAAACATAACCAAACTACAACTGTTTCACAATGTTAACCACATGTTTTATGCCATACGCTTCAACACCCCTTAACTGTGATGTAATAAGCGCATACTACAGCCTGTCGTGAGCTAGTGCTTTGACACACTACAATTTCTTTTTGTTTTATTTCATCAATAGACATTTCTTTATGAATACAGAAAGTAGTTCCACCAGGCTGCTGGTACATAATGCATGACAGCTGCTAAGCAACATACATCAAAGGCTAGAAGGCTATGTTCACACTGCAGGCCTGAATGCTCAATTCCAATTTTTTCCCACATCTGATTTTTTTTGTTTGACAGTTCACATTATAGTTTAAATGCGGGCCATATCAGACTGAAGTGTGAATTGTCCACAGCCTGAAACTGACCCGCATGCGCAGACGAATAAAAGGAGGTCACACGCAGCACGCTGTTGTACAGATGTAAACAAAAAGCCACAAAGATTAGTTCCAGTTAGCTCATACTTCTAACCCTCACGATTTTCACGGACGACTCCAGTATTTCATTACCCTTTCCTGGTTTCCTCCGGAGATCACATTTCTCCCTATTTATGACAAATGTTCACAAATTTCTGTCCTTTCCATGACATACATAAGTAGAATAGGCCTACGTGACTTAGAAGAGAGCTCGCGACCCAGTGGATTTGAGGTAGAAGAAAGGGAAGTAGAGAGCAGATGATAGCAAGGTAGAGGAGAAAAAGAACCAAATGTTTAATAATGGCTTTTGTGGAGCCTAGCGCAGAATTGCTGCTCTAAAGTGACGTCAGAGTTGCATGAACTCCGATCTGACCAGACTGAGGTTGCATTTCAAAAATTACGACCTGTATCGGATTTGGACCACATATGAAAGTGGCCCAAATCTGAACTGGAAAAAATTGGATTCCATGTGACTTGAGCTGCTCACACTGTTGATGATGATGATGGATTTGGTTCACAATCTGATACAATCCACCACTGCTGGTGCCTGATCATGCAAAACATGCAGGAGTGATCACAAAAACTTGGCAATAGATTTTGAATTTGGTGGGAAGCCAGTTTAAAGAAAATCAGATCACAGTTACATGAGACCTTTTTGATGACCCGATCAAAAGCTTTGCAACAGATCCCTTGTAAACAATCCAGGGAAGTCGTGCTAAGATTCTTGAAACACAATAGGTAGTAGTAGGAATATTAGTGGTAATAAAGTAATAATAAAAGTATCAATATTAACAACAATATAATGAGAGAGAACCTGTTGGACAAGGCAAAGTCAAGGGTTCAGATAAAAACCCCTGTGTTTGTAGAATATAAACATATTTTATAAAACTTCCTTCATTCCCATATTAACTTCCAGTTGTACATGTATCCTCTTACAAAATGGTGCCTTCTGTTACTTTCAATCACATCTGTCCTATACATGTTTGATTTATCAGCCTGGAGCACCAGATGGGTGGGGACTTTATTACAAGTTTAATATAAAAAATTGCTGCTCTCTGTATTGTTCTTTCTTTTGTTGGGCTTAACATGATAGCTGTCCTGGCCTCATTTTTAACGCACACTCTGTATTCACTGCTGCCACACTGCCAGCACTGACACCCAATGCTCTGAAATTATTCATGTAATCATGAGAAGGAACTGTTTCACCTCTCGGGAAGTTCTGCCAAATCTCAAGCTTAGCTTTGGGTTTCTATGCTCTAAATGGGTCACGGAGAAAAATTATCCATCTACCTGAAAACATGTTTTCAGATGTACAAGTTACGCCTTCGTCCTGCAGAGAAGACCATGAGACTAAAACCAGACTATGGATGGATAATGGAGATGGATAATTTTTCTCCATGACTCATTCAGAGCACAGAAACCCAAAGCTAAGTGTGAGATTTGGCACAACTTACCGAGAACCGTTTTTATACGCACAGGGAACGGCCTTTATTTGAGGAGAACAAAAGATGAAGGTCTCTCTGATTCACCATTGGTGGCTCAGCAGACAGTATATATATTTATCATGTCAGGCATGTTTTCAGAGATGATATCTGGAGTCAGGATGAGAGTACTTGAGGTGTTTCTCTTGGCAGTGCTGGGCTGCAGTCTGGCTGGTGGGAGACTTGTGTCCAAATGTGAACTGAAGGACCAACTGATGATGGCGATTGGTCAACTGATGATGAAGGCTGAAAAAGGAAAGGGTGTGGAGAACTTGGTAGCTAAGAGTAAGTCCTGGTTGTAACTCTACAATGTGATTCATAATATTTTTTGATGTAGAAATTAACTTCGTTTTATATTATGTTTGAGACCCCCTGGGAGAGCTGGGATGATTGAAACACTTTTCAGATAAACGTGAATTTAAAAGATAATATTTTTTGTTGTGATTAACAACTCATGTCTGTTCTATCAGTACCAGGTGCTATTTTGTACAAATCTGGCTTTGGTATAAATCTGGCCAAAGCTGAGCTACTTCGTTGGGTGTAGGTTAAAATAATTATCTTACTTACGTGACTTAACCAACGTTAGTCATGTTACTTACATAAATTACGTAGCTTAACTAAAAACAATGTTATCTTTTTTATCACATGGGAAATGAACACCAGTGTCCTGGGGGAAAGTCCACCCATCCACCCCAACCGCATCCTTACTCAGACGTGAACTATGATGCTAAGGGGCTCCCCACTGCGTTACAGAATGACGCCAAGGGGTCTTGACTATGTCCATATGTGACGACTCGGAGTGAGAAGGGTACTTTACGTGGCATGTCCACCCAATTTCTTAAGCTTTTGGTAAGTAGTGCGTACAGTATGTGCTGACATAGTTTGGCGTATCAGACTTGTTTCATTCGTTCCGACTCTCCCATATGAGAATAAGGTATAACTACTTGTTGTTGTTCTTTAATTCCCTTTCGTCTCAATGGTAAAAATTGGAATGTCATGTTTTTAATCTGTAGGGCCTACATGTACTGCCTTTTGAATAAAAAAGGAAAAGCCTTAAACATTGGAACCTGAAGACATCAAGTTACACAAGAACATTTGCAATCTTAAAATGTGCAGAAGCCAAACATTTTCTGCATGAATTATTTGGCCGAAAAACCCAAATCTGAAAAATACAAAACAAATTGAGAAAACAAATAGCAGAAAATAATGGATAAGCAAGTTGAAGCTCAGTACTCTTTTTTTGTCTTTGAGGATGCTTAAGTCTAACAAATGATAGTATGTTAATACAAAGAGATTTCTTTCTCATTTCCTGGCTCAAAGGACAATGTTGGCGTTATCCTATATTTTACTTATTTGGTGCTTTAGTGAGAATTTATGTGTACATGTATCTGGTATTGACTCACAATAAACTGATATTACTAGCTGCATGGCTTTATGGGTAACATTGTTGGTCCACGACTTTGATCCAGACGTAAATTCCTAAACAGCTATTGAATTGATGGATGAATCGTGCTAACTTCAGTGACCCTCTGACTTTTCTCCTGCCACCATCATGATGTTGACATTTGCGTAGCCATTATAGAACGGATTGCATTGAAATTTTGTACAAAAATTAATGTTCCCTTAGGAGGAATTTTAACAACTTTTCTTTTGGCACCACCAGCAAGCCAATGCTTTACTACTAAAGTATTGGCGATACTACGATACAACTCTCCAATACTTTTGTTTATGATCAGATACCTACAAAACCAGTATGGCCTCACAAAGGCTATAGACTTGATTTTGGATAACAAAGGAGCTCTATGGCACAAAAGAATAATCTATATAAAACTTGTAGTTTTGTAGTGCAGTAGGATCAATTCATACAGATACAGTTTGGTAAAGATTAAATGGTGAGGGTGCCACTGGAATAAAGCTCACGTAATGTGTGGACGTCTGGCTGAAAAAGTGTGACATTTGAATGAAATTGCTGGTTGTCAGTTAGTTGCTCCCTTCTATTCCCTTCCTTCAGTTGTCTGCCATGTCGAGCTGGCGTCGGATTTTAACACCAGTGAAGTGGATCAGCTGATTCCCGGGATGGAAGCCCATCACAGTAGGGAGAAGAGGGAAGCAGGCTATGAGGGCTTGTTTGGCCTGGCCGAGCCTCAAGGCCCTTTAATCACAATTCGGCCCCACAACAGGGAGCGACGGGATGTCAGACATCCTCCATCAAACACCTGGCCTACACCACCCACCAGTGCCAGACCGTCCACCCGCCCTCCACAACCGGATGAGGAGGTCTGGACGCTCTATGGTCTTTTCCAGCTCAGCAGTCACCTGGTCTGCAGCAGCGACATGACTCCATCACCCAACATCTGTGGGATGGACTGCAACAGTGAGTTCTAATCTCAGTTAGTGCTTATATCACCATGTCATCACTATTGTCACTGTAAAGGTTTGTGCTGACTGAATGCTCAGTAAACTTTTGCCTGACATTATTTGCTTAAATTTAATTGTTAATTTGCTGCAAATGGCCAGTGTACTGACTCTAGAGACATTAGCTGTACCCATCTAGAAACCTATGCTCCAATCATGTCTGTGTGGAATGTGTTTGTGTGACAGTTCAGACAATCACTCTTCATTTCTTCTTCTCTCCTCGGGAGAAGCATCCATTTTTCACATTCTCTACTTGCATTTTCCCATGAACCAGAAAACATGTTTTCTTTCCAGACTTGATTGATGACGACATAAGTGATGACATCAGCTGCGTGATTACAATCTTGAAACAGCTTATGTAAGTACATTTTTAAATTTCTTCACAGTGGACTCTGCATCAAAAGTCAGAGAACCTGTGCTGCAACTTATATTTAAAATTATTTTATTGATTTATGTTGACTTTATTGTAAAATGACCAAAATCTTTATACATCCATGACACAATTGTTAATTAAAGCTTCAAGCAGCGTTGGATAGGCCTTCGCTAGTGAAGCGCGTTGGGGCACACTTTAGATGCCACTGCTCTGCCAACACAGCTCTGAATTGTCACATGCTTGGGACACTGAACTTACTTACTATACTTTATGTCCCACTACGTCAAATGTTGAATAGGTCGTGACATGTTCATGTAAATCTTGTGATAATCATCACAGAGAGTTGACCTCCTGTTGCCAGTAGGTGGTGCTATGATTATATGAAATTTTGGCATGTAAATGTGTTCAGGGTGGAACTGTTATCAAGCACGTAAAGTCTAGTGCAGATTTGAGCATGTAAAGTGAAGTTACAATGACTTACTGTTTCATGGCAAAGCATGGAACTTCACTGCCACACCACAGACATGCCGTTGAACGAAAACTCACAAGTTCAACAAAACAACATGGCCATCAATGTGTTATGGATTTTCTGAGACAGTTTTGGAGTTTATATGCCCAACCTGCTAGGAGTAGTTCATCACTGCATAAAACGCTTCATTTCCTGTAGCCAGTAGATGGCGCTATGACTTTGAGTGAATATTTGCATATGGATGTGTTCACGGCGGGACTCTTATCAAATATGTAAGTTTGGTACAGATGTGAGCATGTACACTGAAGTTACAACAGTTTCCTGTTTGATTTTCGACGGAAATTGACTGTACAACTTTTCATCACCAATGTCATTTGATTGCACAGCAAAAATTTCAGGTTGATTGGATAAATTCGTAGTAGATGTGTTCAGGGCAGGACTGTTATCAAATGTGTAAAGTTTGGTACAGATTTGACTATGTACAGTTAAAACAACTTCCTGTATCTTGGTGAAGCATGGATCTTCGTCACCACGCCAGGGAAAAGCTGTTAACCGAAAACTCATTAGCTTCACAACATAGCATCATCAATTTGTTAAGGGTTTTCTGGGACAGTTTTGACGTTGATATGGCCAACCTACTAAGGTGTAGTCCATCACAACATAAAACTTGTCATTGCCAGTAGATGGCTTTATGACTTTGAGTGAATGTTGGCATTTGTATGTGTTCAGGGCATTAGTGCACTTCCTGTTTGATGGTGAATCTTCGATTTTTGATGCCACGCCACGGGTACGCTCGTCAACAAAATATCAGTTTTAATTGTTAATGGGATTAGACTGCACAGCGAAAATTGGATGTCGATAGACTAATTCTCTGGTAGGAATTTGTTAAAGTACGGAGTTCTTGTTGGGTGTCGGGCATCATTCCAAAAGGCCTTTTTATACGTCGGGTCATGATACATGTACCACAGAGATTTTGTACATTTAGGGGCAAGTTTATCCCTGATGTGTGTGAAAGCACAAAAGTGAGTTTTCAAGCAGGTCTAGGCTGCCAAAAATTTGGTTCATTTGCAGAAAAAAAGACAATAAATCATTCAATTCCAATTCATAGTTTTCAGTCACGTGACATGCGCAGGGACTTGGAGGGCGAAACAACAGACCAACATTGCAGCTCAGGCCGCAAAAGCAGTTCAATTTTATTTGGATCACCTCTCATCTTAAGAAAAAGAAAGACATGAACACAAAGTGCAAGTTGGGCCCTTCTGATCCATGTCACAGCATCCACTGCAGCATTTCTACCGTTAAAAACTGCCAAGTCCCTGCTGCCTCTTGACTGCGGTAATGTTTGCGTTTACCTTGTGGGAAACCCCTCATCTAACACAGCCCAGGCTTGTCTCTTCCTCAATTAGTGCATCCGAAAGCACAACAACCATTCAGCAACAACCATTCCTTTGGAGCATGTGGCCGGGAATTACACATTTTACCTTTAAATAAAATGAAATAAAAATGAGATATAGCCTATTACTTCTACCTCATTGAAAAATCAAGAATCTATGACTATGCAAATATTACAAACTACAAAACACAAGATGTCTTCTAATGTCACTGAAAAGTCCATTCTCTGTGCAACCTAGTCTCACTTGTCAAGATTCAGATGAGTGCAAAGCAGGAGAGAGCCCAAAAGCAAGACACTGGAGAGCTGACAGCAAGTTCAGGGATTTGTATGATTTGTATGTTTGCCCTATATGATGGAAATTGGAACTACACGCTAATGCTATGAATATTTGTTTCTGAATATTTCCACAGTGAAAAAGGTTTCGGGGCTCCCCACTGGAAGGAACTGAGCAAAATGTAAGTTATTATCTTCATAACTTAATAAGTTGGATGTACTGCTTTTGGTAATCTGCCTTTTAAATGAAATAATTTATGAATTCATTACCATTTAATAATGAAACCAAAACAGTCAGTTTACTTAACAAAAAACAACATTTGCATAAAAGTAATGTTGATCTCTTCTGTTTATTTGCAGGATCAGGCTCATCTTCCAGAAAGAGTGCAGTGTTCAGGATGCCTCTGAGTACTTTGCTGAATGCTCTTAGTGCTGCAACTGTCACTTGAAGGATTATCCACCTCTCAACTGAGTGGCCAGTGAATTATGATGATAATAAAGTGAACCATGTTGCACTTGTTGCGTTTGTCTATAATCCAAGTCTTTGTTTGAGAAAATTGTCCTATTAGTATTCTGTTTTATTATTGCTTTGACAGCACATTTAGCTAAATTATTAGGCTGTGTGATTGACTCAATCATACCATCATTGGTCCGGCACTTCAGCCATTAGACTCAGGTCTTGGTCTTTGGTCACGTTGCTGGTCTCCCACCTTTGCCACTGGCCTCCGGAGGGGTTCTGCCATATATGCCTGGAGTCATCTATTTAACAGATGTAAGGGACTGTACAAAAATAAATGGGATGGAGAAGGGAGCTTCACTTCATAAAAAAAGAAGGTCTTATTTATTTTATTTATTAGTATTAGAATTATTATTTTCTTTGGATCTTACATAAATACAGTACAGTGATTTCTAACTTCTAAAACTATACAGCCTATATACAACACTGTTTTAGATGTATCTAAGACAAGAATTCAGTTGGAGATATGTATGTTGCTGTTCTGACTTGGTACCACTAGGTGTGTATATACTGTATATTATTCATACGTATATGACATCCTACTGATCAGAAAAAGATTTGTCGCATGATGCTTAAATAATCTTGTCTTGTGGTGTCCGAACAATAATCCTGCGCTGATGTGTTGAGAGGAAACCCGCTTGACACTCTTCTTGATCATAAAAGTTTATTACATCAAGGAGTTCAGCATCAATTACAAGCTCTGCAGTAGCTTGGATAGTGACCCAGCCCGATGACCACTCTGTCTCTCTGTACATCATAGCTTATATAGGATATGTTTAGGTATCTGTTAGGTACCATAGAAGGGTTTGAGTCTGCAAAGTAAAAGGTCAAACCCATAGAAGGGTATAGTGCTATTCTGAGGTAACAAAACAAGGGGTTAGAGGTCAAATTCTATAGAAGGGTTCAGTCCCTACATAACCATGCTCTCCCCGTAGAAGGTCACTGACTCTCTGTCCTGCTGCTACAGTGCTATTTTGAACTGTTATGAGTCAAATGCATAAATATTGGATACTACAGTCTCCATGGATATATTAGCTATAATAAAGGCTGTAGGGATGGTAATGTCTGTCAGTCCACCTCTGAATTAAATATCTCAAAAACTATCGCGTAGATGGTTTCCACAGGATAAATCCTACTGATTTTGCTGATCACCTGACATTTCTAGCTTTTAGTGAAATATCTTGAGAATTATTCGATGGAATGGTGTGGTTTAGATTTGGTGGAGAGATATAACTGCGCCCCAAGGGATGAATCACAATGATTTTGGTGATACCTTAACTTTTCCTTTAGCACTACCAGCTTGTCAAAGTTTTCACTTTGAGTTTTCACAGCTCTACAGACATTCAAAGTTTCTAGTTGACTACTGACTTTAGTGATCCTCAGATCTTT